GCAACTGAGTGAAAGCCTACAAGTTCGGATAGAGAAATCACACTAAGGAATATTTTATTTAGCAAATGGGAGTGGGGGGTTGAGAAAAGCTGATACTGAATTTGTAAATCACTAATTTTTAAATTTTCAAATACATGCCAATTTAACTTTTAATTTGTAAAAAAAAAAAAAAAAAATCTAACAAAAACAGTAAATGACAAACATTTGGGAACAATTTAACAGATCAAGAAAAAATTTAAAGTAGCAAAATGTTTTAAATTCTTTTCTGAAAAGGAGTTACAGTAATTTTTTTTTCTTGCTGAGTGAAGCAAAAGTATACACAATTTTTAGTAGTTGAAACTAATATTATTGTGATTGAAAATTAATTTCCAGTTTTAAATAGTCCAGAAACAAATGCTTATTGATTTTGCAGAAATATCTCCGAAACAACGTCCGTGTCATGGGGGTGGGTTTGGGAATGCCACACTTTGTGAGCCCCAAACTCACCTCGAGGTTGGCTTTCCTATGCCACGCATTGACAGGAGATTTGATTATAGTGGGGATTGTAAGGGACGCATTCCCCTTCCTTACTATCAGTCCTTCCCATCTCGTGAGGTAAGCGCTGCCGTAAACCCTGGGATCAATCGGATTTCCTTTGCGAGTGTCAGTATACCTTGATAATCATTCCTCAGTCCAGTGACCTTTCACTGTCTAGAAAGGTCTATCGTTATTTAGTGGAGGGGTTTGCAAAGGATCCTCTATGTGAATGGCTTGTCTTGTTGAAGGAGTTTCACTCTTTCTGATCTTGGGCGCCAGTGGCAGATTATCTTAGTAACCCTAAGTTTTCGCTTACCTGGTGATTGGCTCGGAATGACAAGACCTTCTTATAGGGCTTAGTGGATTTGCCAGACTGTGAAAGGTGTGACCTTGGTTTAGAGGAATTGTCCCTGGATCCGCCCTTTATGGGACCATCTCTACAAGTTGATGGCTCGTCTCGCTCCTGCTCATGGATTGCGCATACAAGTGTTGCCCCCACATTCTGGGGTGAAATGAATGGCAATGTGGACGGCACGATATGAGGAAGTCTTGCAAGGTAATTGGCTTTCTCATCAGGACCTGATCAGATTCTTTTAGCATCAGCTCAAGATGAAAATTAGAACTGATAGAAAACACTTGCATTCAATAGTCTTCAGCAAAAGGTGGGTGACTGAGGCATGCATGATTTGTTTGAACGAGGCTAGTCTTAATTTTCTCTTTTAGGTCAGCCTAGATCTCACCAGGGTGGTTTCCTGTGGAGCTCTCCCCTAGATTAGGTCAGACAAGCTTTTGTGTACCTAGTTAATGTAAATGTTGTTCCTGGCCTGCTCCCAGCTGCCTCTTTGGTTATGATCCAAGTTGAGGTTCTCAACCTCCCCTTTTTCATCTTGATTGGATCAGCTTTTATACCCCCCCCCATGTCTATATATATATATATATATATACATACATACATACATACATACATATTTTTCCCTTAGCAAGAGAGCTTTTTGATTTTGTCCAATGGGCAGAATACAGGAGCCTCTCTTTTTTGAGGGTTGGATGGTCTCTACTAATATCAGTTATGCTTAGTTTGTTTTGTGTTAATATTTGGTTTGTTATTGGGTTCATCTCCCTCCCCTCTCATTCTTCATTAGATTTTTATATAGAATTTATTAAATTTTTATGGCATGGGATGCATTTTGGAGGTCCCCCTTGAGAGAATGCAGTATTACGGTGTATGGAGGATTGATTAATGACGGGTGAGTTTTTATGGTGAATGCAGAAATTGTAACGAGTGAATGGGTTGTGAGTCAGATTAGCTAGGTACAAGATAGTGTCGACCAGCCTAAAGCCCACCTTTTAGGCTTTGTGCCATACTTGTGTAATTTCACACAATAAATCTCAATATCTCCGAACAAACACGTCCATATCACACAAATATGTTGTGATGTTCTCAGCCAGACTCCCAGGCTTAGTCACATTCGTGGGTCAGGCTGAACGTTCCAACACCTTCCGTGTGTATATAGATAACACGATTTATTGTTGACGTTTTTGGTTAGTATTTTTTTTTAAAAATTAGTTTACAAGAAAAACTCATACAATTTATTCTGGAAGAAAATGCAAAGTAAATAATAAGGGGCATTTTGTCCAAAACATTTTACCATAAGAAAATTTTATTGACTGTAATTTTTCAGAAAACGTTAACATCTGAAGCTTCCGTGCCCACAAACCTCCATTCAATACGTTTTAAAATTTAAAAGCTAAGAAACAGGGGAGATAACTAGTTATGTTAAATTAGATCAAAAGTTACTTCTCTTGGGTGGCACGAGGTACTGCTTCAGCCGATTACATTTTACTTTTCAAAGTACCTTAAAAACCTAATATTTTAATTTATATAATTAAATCAGAATAATTTTTTTATTTTTAAAATATATATCAGGAAAAATTAATTCGGACATAGCTTTCAGAAAATCCTTTTGTCTATAAATGTATTATTTAAAGATGCAAAATTTTTGCATTTTACTTGTTAAAAACACATACCGGTCCCCAAAATCACTAAAACGGACTTTGTATTCTAGTTAGGAAATACTCAAAACACTATCTACATTTAGATTTATTTGTTGTATTTTTTCGAGCCTACAATGAGAATCATTTAAGCAGAGAAAATTAACAGTAGCTCTAGAAATGAGTAAATGGGCAAATGAAATGAATTTTCAGTTCTATTTTAATTTCTCTTACCTTTTAAAAATTATAAATTACATAAATATATCCACTGGAATTTCACATTCTACCAATTTTAAGAGACAGACGTTATCTTTTATCAAGCACAGATGAGAAGACATTCATCAGTGAATATTCAGAGAATTTGTCACAACATTTCTTCCACATGCAGAAAAAAAAAAAAAAAAAAAAAGTTCCAAGGATTTGCACGCATAGACAATGGTGATGGTTTTATATATCATTAAGGAAAATTATCTACAAGTGCATGTGTTTAAATAAAGTCTTAAATCTGGAAACGGATTAACAAGTGATATATTTTAACCATCTTGTCTTTTCCTCACTGGACACTAAACACCCTGCAAATATTCTAAAAACAAATCAAGTCCGAGATATATATATATATATATATATATATATATATATAAGAGAGAGAGATTAACCCTTTCAATTGTTTTTAATGTCAGTTTTAACTGCAATTAAATTTTGTATCCTTAGTAAAATACTTAAAACTAGATTGAATAGCCAGTAAATGTTCAATATATAACCTGAACAAAGGAGGTTTCAATAATGATAATCAACAATGTGGTACTTGACCATTATTAGTATACTCTACAGGTAAGTGAGGTCCCTGAGAAAATTTGAATGGCTCTTTGATGATGGTAAGGGATTGACCCATTTCTTTCAGCAGTCAGTCTAATAGTTGGTCATATCTGTAATAACTGTACAGAGGATTTTATAATTGTGAGTAACTGAACAGTCAAGAAATTACAACCCCCACCAACTCAAGTTTTTATTAAAAAAAGAAAAAAGTTGTTTTGTCTGGCCAAATATGTTACGGCTATTTAACGATTGACAACATTGTAAAATGCCAAACTTTAACCACAACAAAATTGAAGTTTGCTTGGTAATCCTTTATTCAGAGCCACCCAAGCCAGAAAGGAAAGAAATAACACCACAACGCTGCCGAGCAGCAGCAGTTATAGACCTATAACTTTACTTTTCACCAACACACAAGATTTATTCCCAGTTCAACCATAAGCCTATCACTCTGTGCTTGGCAGTGTGTTTATTCATTTGACGGCAGTGCATAAAATTATAAAAATCTAAATATCAACCCATTTGTAAAATTTGGCTGTAATAAAACGGTGGCAAAATGCAAATTAACAGATTTCCTCCCCCATAAAACTGGAAACCCTATTACTTATACCCTCTCCTTGAGTATTAAAGCCTCCATGTACAGAGGAGAGAGAAAGAAAAAAAAGGTGGGGAGGGGTTTTACTGAAAACCTCCTAGCCCAACCAAGAAGACACCTCCTCCTCCTCATAAATTCTGATATTTTGGGAATTAGACTGAGAACATTTTCAGACATCTGATACTATGCAATAAAAATATCAATGATTTACCAGTAATTGCTAAGATCAGAAACAACTGTAGGGAGCAGCAGAGTAAGGGGTGGGGGATTATAATTAGTCTGTAAGAAAAGCATATAGGCAAACAGTACTTGAAATTATATATATGAAGTGGAAAAGCATTTTAAGTATATTTTAAGGTTTTGTATTGCATTTCCAATTTTTATTGACCATTGTGTTTTATTAATATCTGCCCAGTAGGGAAGAGGAAGAGAAAAAAAAAAGTTTTAAAATATGGTTGCAGTAATAATAATGCAATAATAAGGCTTATCTATTGCAAACTACCATTCTTTAACCGATAGGGTGTTGGGAAAAGACCAGAGAAGTGTCCAAACAGGAGACTCAATGTGATAGCAGTGTAGTGGAATTGAACGGTAATTTGGTCTGGTAGTATGCAACAACAAGACTGGTTGAGCGGCTGCAGTAAAGGTGACAATAATTGCACCCAGGTCATTAGAGACGAACAATTGGTGAACCGAACGACAGAAGACTGCCACCTTGAGAGACAGTTACAGAAGAGGAACACCATCATTCTTTATGTCTTGTAATAGTAGTAGTAATAGTAGCAGGTTGAGTTGTACTAGTCTTAGAGTTCTTTAAATGATGGCCAACCGTTGAATTTGTTAGGTAAGTATAAGAGATAGAGAGAAAAATAAAGACGCAGAAATGCCTTTTTGATCAGACAAGTGTAACCTGTTACAGCTACAGTTTGCCTGGAATCTGTTTTTATAGTTAATTTGCCAAGTGTGAGGTCTTCACTGACAGATGAGAGAATTTCTTTCTGGATGCTTTAAACTGTGGCGCTGTTGGATAAAGTGTTGCTTCTGCCTTCTTTGGTGATTACTCCAGAATTATTTCCTCAACACTTACCAGGAATTCAATTGTTTCATCAATATAGTTGTTGGGATCATTATCTTGAGAATCAGTATCATGACCTGAGAAAAATGCAGAGAGGCAAAGATGATAGAAATCAAATCAATTCATAGACATTTTATAATCAAGGATTTTACAAACATTAATTTATTTAATAAAGAAAGAAGAAAAAAAAAGTTAAATATATTTTGTGGCACAGAAGGACCATATTTGCAAAAATATATCAAGGAAGAACAAATCCACTAGTAATTTTTTTTTTTTACTCATTGGGATGTGCAAATCACATCAAAAAGGTATTATGTTTTATTAATTTTTTTTTTTTTTTTGGCAAATTCCTAATGGAAATCAAGATTACAAAGTGCAAGTAATTTGAGATGAGAAAACTGCAACACCAGTACATACCATCTCTGAGAGCAATTCGCCTCTCCCGATAGAGATTGTATTCATGCTCCTTGTCGGCACGGTATTTCCTGAACTCTTCCAACATTTTCTGGCGCTTGTCAATTAATTCCTGACAAATTTAAAAAAGTTCAACATTCAATATAAAAGAAAATAAAAGACTTTCAAAAGGCAGATAAATCCAGGAGACAAATTAAAATGGCTGACATTCAAGAGGAGGTAATTCGGTAATTGAAATTTGCTCCAGGCATTAAAAATCAAGTAGATACCTACAAAGTGGGAGTATATAAATAAACAGTTGAAAATGCTAACCTTTGATGCCTTTGTCTGACTCATTTTGTCTTTAATTTCAAACTGCACTGCATATTTCTTCATATTTTTCTTGATTTCTCTAATTTGCTCTTTGGTGAGCAAGCTGGCAGGTCGTGGCCGCCAAAGCAGTTGACAAAACCTGTCTAGGGATTGCTTCTGGAGGAGCCTACCTTGGAATGACCACAGCCAATAAGCATTGTCAACCTAAAGGAGAAATTTGTAAGCCATTAATAAAAAAAACAACAACAAAGGGGTGGGTGGGTTGAGAGGGGATAAAAACACACACAGAGTTACAGTGCTGCTTCAATAGTATGAAGTAGCACTGTAACTGTGTGTGTGCGTGTGTTTCATTACACTAACTGTTGAAAAGTGAACACTGCTTATTCCAAGTTCCCATTTTCATAGAGCAACAATCAAATAGGTTCATTATTTTGTTGCTTGTCACTTTGGTGACAAACTTTAAGACTCACATTTCATTGAAAGAATTAAATGCTAAAGAGACACACACACAAAAAAAAAAAAAAAAAAAACCAAACCCAAAGTAAGCAAATGTTATTCCCAAAGAAATTATTGAAAAAAAAAGTAAGAACTAATTGTTTATATGATTGGTCAATGCTTTTCCACACACTTACCTTGTGTCCCCACCAACTGAGACCAGATACCACATAACGCCCTGTTGGGTCCCATTCTACATCTGTAGCCATAAAGTGTTCCGTCTGAGCCATAACAGTCATATCATTAGTGTCAATAAACTCTAAGATGCCATTCATGCTGCAATATGGATAGAAACATTTTTAATGAAAAATAGCCAATCAGTTAGAAATTCAATCTAAACATCTACATTTTCAAATATACCAAAAATATCAATGTACAGAAGAGGGAAAGTAACTTGTAAAAAGTTCATCTAAAATCTTTTTCATTACTTTGCATGGTTACTATAATTTTTTTATTAAAACATGACTTTTGTTTTTTTTACTGCTTTCAGTATTTGAATAAAACTTGTTCCAGATGACTCATTGCATTTATGTTCAGATTTGTAGTCTGGTTACAATTAACTGTTGCAATTTTACACGGAGGGAGTGGGATGATGGGGTCCACTTATTTTGATCTTTTTTCTTTCTCTTAAATAAGATCAGATTTAGAATACACTAATTTGAAGTTAAATTAGTGATGTGCAATAACGAGCATTTTATAAATAATGAGCACAATGGTGTGTGGGTGAATATAAAATTAGTGAAATATAATAAAAGAAATACTGCTAGATTCCCTACACAAAAGTGACTCTGAAGTAAAAAAAAAAAAATATGGAAAGACAGTGTTACCTCCTAAGGCCTGCAAGAACTATGAACTGTCCAGATGGGCTCCAAAACAGGTGATTTGCTTGACGTTTATCGAATGTTTCTGCAAGAATATATAAATATATATAAAAAAATTGCAATTGGATATTTAATTTAAAGCAAATAAAAAAAAAAACTGTAGAATTCCCTAAGTTGCAAAAATTCATTGAGTGAAAAATTTTTTAAGGACAATTTAAGAGAAAATTTTACACAAAAGATTACATTATCTCCTGCATTCAATTGAAAGAGATTAAAGCAAAACATAAAAGAGAAAGAAAAGGGAAGGTGAGATTTCAATTTTTTATATATATATATATATATATATATATATATTGTAGTACAGGTATATTGACTGTGACTTGTATAAAAATACATATGTTGTTGGCAGACTGAATGATTTTCAAAGCCTAAGTCAACACGCAGTTAGCAAAAGGTTGCCGACCAGTCATAAAAGACTCATTTCGACATGAATGCCTCATTAACTTGGAACTCAATTACATCTTAGTGCTGATGATGAAGGCAACAGCAGGAAATTACTAAGCAAAATAATTAAATTCTTCTTTTATTGGATTTGTTCAGATGAACTATTCTTTAATTCTATCAAGTCAGACTTGTACAGCTAGGATATGCCAGGTTACATCCATAGAGTTGAATCACTCATTTCCTCTGTTCAAATTAGGAGGAGGAAGTTCCAATCAGGCAATTCTCTCCCAAGAACTGCAACTTTGGGACACACAGACTCCTCCATGGATACTTTCTTTGAATAGTACAATCTCAACTTCCGATCGTCAACGGTGAGTCATCTTGTCCTCAGTGTTATGTGTTAGAAATTGTAACAAAAGGAAAAAAAATGATTTACCACAACACAGAGCTAAATCACAAACAAATATTTAATTTACTAAAACACAACATAAAATATATACAAGATATACAATTGTGGCAACAGAAAACAGTTTACGGGCGAAGTGTTACGAGGGAGGAGGAAGGGGAGTCAAGTATCATTACCACTTTAGGGCTAGCGAAGTAATCTAAGTGCTAATACTGGAAATCCACAAATGTGAGTATATATTGAATAATTGGTAGTTTGGTCAATGAAAATAGTCAAAACTCTATTTACCAGATTTGTTCCATGTGGTTCTCTTTTGGGGTTTTTGTTGGTCGGCAACTTTTCATAGAGATTCTTTCGGCTGGATATAATAATCCTCGAATCAAAAAAAGCCGGAATTGATACTGGCAGAAATTTCTTTTCACCAACTGACAACCCTTTTCCAAAAACCTATTTTTATAGGGGCTAACACCTAATTTGTATATTTCTAAATGTTTCTCGAATCATCTAGATTTCTCTCGAAATGATCTAGAATCTTCAAGACATTCCATTTCTAATTTCTCTATTTTACAACTACTTCATGAAAACGTTTTTGTATTAACAAGTAGGAGTCGGTAGAATCTCTTACTATAAAAAGGCATCCTCGTAACACTCAGAATCTTCAGTTTTTATCACTTGCCCTTTCATTTTTTATCACACTTCATTCAGTAACCTTCCATCTCGAGTGGCTCTTGAGCTTTCCATTAGGTGAATTTTTAGTAAAAATGCTTAAGAGTAACTATGACAAACCCATTGTTATACACCCCAACACTGGCCATTTGCAAGTACTTTGCAAAATGTTAGAAAGGCATTCATTGTAGTGCATGACAAAAAGAGACAAAGTAAATGAAACAAAAAAATTTACTTACTCAGAGTTTCAACTTTTCCACCTTGTCGTATATTACAAAAAGTAACGGAGATGCGTGGATTCTCACCATGAATGTAAGCAAATTTACTTCCACTTGGTTCCCAGGCAAAGGCAATAATATTTTCTAAAAAGAAATTTAAATATACAATTTTCGCTTGTAAACATATTTTGAGAGTTATTTTTATAATATCTATCCTTTTTAAAATAATTTCTTTGATAATAAAAGTCAACTGAATCAAATGCCGAAACTAGAAACATTCATTTATCTTTGAAATGTTATTTAAAAAAAAAAAAAAAAAAAAAAAAAATATTGCAATATAAAATTTAAAGAGAATTTTCCTTTATTTTTTTCATGTTTTCGAAAGGGAGGTGGGAGAAATCAAAAGCAAAAAGTACTAACCTTTCACTTCAAATTTGTCCACAGGTATTTGTTTTTCTCGAATACGGAAAATCTCAAAGTTGTAATAAATCCCCTAAAGAAAGAAAGAAAAAAAAAGTAATGTAAAGGTTTACTTGTGTCAAAAGTACCAAAACCAAATTCTGCTTTATAAAACCATGTATACATGTATAAAATAAAATGCAGTATTCAATCCCCAAGGGAGATTGACAGAGAGCTTCGCATTAGAAATACCCAAGATGGTTGCTGATGAGTGGACTTTGTTTGCACAAATTGTTGTGTATTATAAATTATGGACATAGTAAAAATGTGAAGATTAAAAGAATTAATGACAAAAAGCAAAATAAACCGAATTAGCACTGGTGTTGGATTTGAAATCCTGACTTAAATCATTTTGATTAGAACCATATTGAGTGAAACAAAGAGAAATCACAAGAGTTCAACTCACCAATTGAGAGAGAGGAGGGGAAAAAAAATTAGGAAAGAAGCATAACAAGGCAGATGGGAATCAATTTTGGTCAAGATCAGGCCTGATCTCCCACCCTGTCTACTGGGATCAAGAATTCAACTGACCCAATTAGTGAGTGGCATAACTGAGACAGAGAGAGAGAGAGAGAGACAGAGAGAGAGAGAGAGAGAGAGAGAGAGAGAGAGAGAGAGAGACAGAGAGAGAGAGACAGAGAGAGAGAGAGAGAGAGAGAGAGAGAGAGAGAGAGAGAGAGAGAGAGAGAGAGAGAGAGAGAGACAGACAGACAGAGAGAGAGAGAGAGAGAGAGAGAGAAAATATATAAAAAAACTTTTACAGATGTGGCAGTGAGCCAGGAATTGGTCTGCCTCCTTATGACCCACCATGCATTCCAAACACCTCAGATGTTATCTCTGGCCAATGCTGTTATAGCAACGATGATAACTGGGTGATAAGGAGTCTCCATATAAAATGCCAAAAGTACTTATGCAGAAAAATGTCGGAAAGAGATAAGCCAAGAGCAGTCCATTAAGAAAAGCTTCCAGTAGTCAGGATTGTGAAAGGAGAAGGTAAACAAAATTGAACAGAAGAGCTTGTGTGTCTTGGTTACCATTTGATGAGTAGAGACAGTTTGACATCCAACAGACACATAGAACTAATCCCAATGAAGAAAAATAAAACAGTGGGCCTTTTTAAAAGTAAAACATGTACAAACAAGGTAGAGAAACAATTTGACAGAGATCAAAGTCTGCTCAGATCAATAATCACAATGTGAGTTCTTAATAGATCACAGCTCAAATTCAGGGGAAATTTGATTTTATCCAAATGGTTTTCAGACGATTCTCATTACTTCATATTCCTTCAGATTTGTGTTGCCCTTGGCATTTCCCATTGACGAATATGCAGGCAGGTAGGCATAAAAGGTACTCAACATGCTATCATCCTCCTCTTCTCAATCAGGTCAAGATAAAATAAAGTATAACTTGAGCCCTAAGTTCAAGACAGGTCAACTGATTATCACCACAATGACTATGAGCAGTAACAGTTGTAAATCGGAGATCAGGTCAGTTATAAGACTATTATTTTAATTCTGTCGGTGTTTTTAATTCAATCATGAAGTACAGGTTTTTTTTCTTACTTTGCAACCCATGTTTTCGACAATAGCTCTATATTGAAAAATAAGTAGAATATTGTTTACACCTCACTGGACATAATTGTAAAATGTTTTTAAAAATATAAAACGGATGACATACTGTAAACATGAAGCATCCCCACCCAACACAGGAATCATATTCAAATTTGGCACGAATCTTTCTAATTCTTGCTACCACTAATTCCAGTGTTTAATTTCCTATTTAGGAGGGCAGAAATGTGTCTCAAATTGGCATTTAAAACCCACTGATATTATATATATACAAAGTATTAACCTATTGTATTGGATTCATCAAGCATGCTTGTCTTCAATACATTTTTATAATATGGCCAACTCACAGGCATGATAAACTTATTTAAAGAATAAAAAGTTTCAATATTAATTACATGTGTTAAAGATATGGGCAAAACTAAACTAAGCATCAAGATGAGGATATCAAGCTGGGCCGACAACCTGTTAAACTTTTAGAAATAACAATGGCATTGAGTGCTGGACAATCTCCTCAAAGATGAAATGCGGTTCTACAGAAGGAAACTGAGGATACTGTGGACTGAACATACGAGCAATGAAGTTTTTGAGAAAATGGAAACAAAAAGCAAACTAATACTTAACATCAGGAAGAGACAGTTGAAGTTTATGGAGCTTATACTGAGGAAGGAAGGCTTGGAAAATCTGATATTCACAGGACAGGAAAACAACGCATAATATATTTAGTGAGCTTGATGGTGGGACGGATTAGGAGAAATAACAGACAGACAAAGTTTATTAAGTGCTACAAGGGACAGGAAATTGTGGAGAGCCATGATCAGCCACATCCTTTAGGGGGGGAGGGGCAATGGATAAAGTAGTACAGCAAAAGAAACCAGCGTGCGCACAAGCAAGAGAGGATTTTGGGAAATCCTTGGAACTCACACTGTATTTATACTGATCCTTTTCTTCAACTTTTTTAGCTTTCGAGTAGCGATCTACTTTCACGCACAAATAGTCCCCTTGCTTTTGCCAATGCATTTTGCAGTCAGCCACATTGAATAAGTTCTTTTTGCATAGTTCTGTCCTTTTTGGTATACTAATAAGGACCACTCTGGCAGGCACGTTCTGCTGTTCAGGCATCCAGTAGGCAATGATGTTATCTGTTGGAGACCAGGTAAAGTCTCTGCAAGATTAAAAAAAAAAAAAAAAATCTTAGTAGTCAAAGATAAAACATTGAGTGTTAGACAAATGCAAAATTTATAGGGGTAACAATTTCATTTAAACTGCTAAAAGATTAAACCCAAAAGTCAAATAAAAGTGAAAAAGATAGAATTTATAAGAATTATGAGCCTTGTCAAAGATGATTACTAGTATCTGGTGAGAATTAAAATGGACCAAACTTGCAAATTGATTTGTAAGACCAGCTTGTAAGAAAATGTTTTACAGAGCAGATCAGGTATAAATGATTTTGTATTGAGATTGAAAACGGTTATAAATGTCATTAATTAAATGAACTGATGGCAAATGGTAATCCCCATTATTAGAGACTGGGGTGCTTCAAGACAAGAAGAGAATTTACAAGTTAAATATCAACTATTAGTATTAAAAAGATAAAATGCTTTGTACTGACTTGATTCCAGGCAACTTCAAACTCTTTTTATCAAGCAAACCAAAAGACTGAAAAAGAAAAGGAAATTAAAACAATGAGAATAAACAGGCCTTAAAAGTGGTCTTGGAAAGATTTATCATAATTGTCACAGGCTTTTATTGCAACCATTATTATTATTTTCTTTAACAAGCAGCTTGTCTTTAGAAAGGAATTAATTTGCAACAGAATACTTTGTATTGCTGCATGAATAAATTGAAAACAGTCACTAAAAGATGGCATTTATTTACTTTTTATTGGTTGAAACCATCTATTTGGATCAATCAAAAGCCTGCATTCAACCTTTGGTAAGTTTTGAGCCTAATTTATTATTTTCATGAGTTATTGTCTCAAACTTCCAATTTCTGTCATTTGTTGACAGTAAATTATATTGCCAGATTTAAAAAAAAAAAAAAAAAAATAAATGATGACTTTGATGGAGCCATTGTAAATTGTAAATCCTTATTATAACAACCACAATGTATTTTACTCAGAAATGTACGGATTTTAAAACAAGGATTTTTAGATCATTTTTTCTTTATTCTTAAAAAGAACAAAATCTACTAAATTCCTTGCAAAGAAATCATGAGCTGTTTTCTTGAATTTTTCAAATGAAGCAATTACTATGATAGAACTTGAAGTCAACTTACAGGTGTTTCATAAACACTGAGGGCATCCATTCCAAGTCTTGCAAAATATTCACCTGTTTTATTCCACCTGAAAAATGAAAGAAACTTCAATAAAAATGACCAAAATGGGAAAGAGAAACAGTGGTAACAGAATTCAGCATAAGATTTTCAAATTATTTTCCAATATGTCACAGCAATAATAAATGGCTTACTTAAAAATGGGCCAAGTTGATTGGCTCTCACAATGAAAACCACGTTTCTTTTGACCAGTCCTGATGTCCCAGATAATAATAGCTTGAGGATCCTCTTTGTTATCCAAGAGAGGACTGAAAGACACTAAATATCTGCAAGGAAAGAAAATAAATTTTAACTTCTTTTAATGAATTTTATGTCCTAAGAATAATCTACTTGAAAAAATATTTACATATTTGTCATATACAAGTCTTTTCATGAACTGATAATGTGAGATTTAGAAAGAATTTCATCATTTATGTTCAAAAACATTTAAATCTATGGGAGTGAAATGCTGCACTCTAGTATATGAGAACTAAATCACCAGACTATCTACACACATCTAATGCTTGCTTGCTTGCGTGGGTTTATTATATATATATCTTAAAGAAACAATTTATGCAAAGAATTAATTAGCAAATCACTTCACTAACAGGACATAATGAGACATTAAAAATACCATCAATCACTTGAATAAGATCCTTATATTCAAGTTGTCAGACAGAAGACACATTTCAAGTACTTTCAACAATTTCAAATTGTCATTTTCAGGGTGCAATTTTCTTATATATATGCAAATACCAAGACAAAATATACTGAAAGATGTTTTGTTTTAAATTATGGTATTTATTGACAGTTGAATATGTTGTGGAGTGTCCAATTTATATATATATATATATATATGTATGTATGTGTATATGTGTGTGTGTGTGTAAAAATACACACACACACCTGCCTGAAACTGTGAAAACATACAAGTAAACATTATGAGAAGGAGTAAGAATTGTTTAGAGCTATCCCAAATATGCTTATGATGATTATATTGAGAATTGTTTACACACCAAAATTTAGGACTCATTAGATCAACTCTAGAAGTTTCTCTTTTCTCTTCATGACAATTTGCAGTAACAAAATCAAACTTTAAAAATACCACTTCATGTGAAACTGAATGAATAAAATACAAGTGCTGCAAATAATTTAAGTATTTTTTATTTATTTATTTAAAAAACAAAGACTTTCAATAGGAAGAAGTTTGTTGAAACTGTAGAAGAAAAAAAAAGTTCATGAGAAGTGACAAAAATACTGGAGAATAAACTCTTAAACTCAGCCAATGAAATAGATTCAACCATCAGTTTAAAAAAAAAAAATGTTGCTAATTAAGAGACTATAATGCTTTCAAGTACAACTCTACTTTATCATTAGGTGGTCATACACAAATTAGAAGCACACGCACAATAGAAGGGATCACTAAAATGAATAGCTGCATAGTTGGACCAATTGTGTAAGAACAGAATTGACTTCTCAAATAGGTTTGTCAGTTTTACGCAAACCCCTTTAGATGAAAGGGGGACAATGGCTAGAGACTACATCCTGTGAGCCCCATATGTTCTTCACTAAGTGGAATCTACTGGACACACACATACACACACAACATAATTTTTTTTGATAGAGCAGTTTCATTCACTATAAATGTATTTCATGGTAAGTAAATTGGAATAATTTGAAACCAAATTGTTTGGTTATTTGTAATATAAGGAAAAACAGATGCAACACTTTTTCATGACAAAACTAACATACACTATCTGGTTGGGTACGCAAGTAGAAGGATCAGGTATTTCTAAATTGGGTTATCAGAGACTCCCTTAGTCACCTTGATGACAACCCATCTAGTGGCCAATGGCTTCATCCTTATGGTGAAGGCAGGTGAACTGTTGCTTGTTAGCCTGCTTCAGAGTAATGGTCAGAAGAGGATTTGGGACCAACTGATGCCAATTCAATGTGACTGTTGAATATGTAAAGGATGTGTGGGTGGCGTAATGGCTAGTGGCACAGAATGAAAAATCACAGATTTGAGCTCAAATTCTAGCCTAGTTCTTTACATTCATCAACATGCAAATATTAGGAAAGGTATGAATCCAGCTTCTTCAGAGTTATGGGTTAAATAGTATGCCATACTAGGCTCGATAGCCATGGTTGGCAACCAGTCTAGAGGAACAACCATAAATTCAAAACTATTACAATTGTTCATGATCCTGGCCCTCAACAATGAGGATGGGAAGGAAGGTGTGTGTGTGTGTGTGTGTGTGTGTGTATATATATATATATATATATATATATATATATATATATGATAGAGGTTATGCATATAAAAGATGACCCCCCCCCAACCAAGTAAATGTTAATTCTGAATAATAGGGCATTTATTTCTCAATGTCTGCTGTTGATGACTTTCGTTTAGAAAGAGAAAAATTGAAGTTCAAAGACATTAAACAGAAATTGGATTTTCAATGCACACTGAAGAAATCTATGAATAACTAGCAGCATGGCCCGGTGTTGCCAGTGCTTGACTCAAAAATCGTATGACTCGTACAACAATCGCTATCACTTGACTTAAAATATTTTTGCCCTTCCTTGCCTTTAACCCTAACCCTTTGCTGTGCTGATGTTGCTACATGTCTTACTTCTTGCCTATCTCACACTAGAATTTTTTCTAAGCTCTATACTAAACATTAAATCTGTTATAAAAAAAGAACTAAACAAAATGAACACAAAACGATCAGCTTTAAAAAAAAAAGGACTCGTAACTGGAAAAACTGAATGAAAAAAATGTTAAATAATTTTTCACACCGAACCCAGTTCTGTGGAATCAGAATCAACATTGAGTTTAAGCAAGCGAATGAGCCAATTGGAGTAAAGTGCCATGCAGATTTAAATTTCCCCCCACTTGTGACGAATGCAGCTATCGATTATTTTTTTGCATGCTAGTTAACATTCGTGTCAGTCAGCTGTTGGCTCTCACGTTGGCCAATAGAATCTTCCTGCCTATTCGTGGCAGCTAGCTCTAGGCTCTCACTCTGGCCAGTAGAAAATGACCGCAAACTACATGAAAACTGCCGTAGAAGCATGAAAAAAATCGATTATTTCCACTATCAATGGGAGTTGGGAAATGCAAAGTTGGTCTTGGCCTTCCCGCTAACTTGGAGCATGTGCATGTAAATTTTGGTGCAAATCCGTCGAAAATTGCAGCTGTGCATTCGTTACACACACAAACACAGCCTTTTATAGATAGAGATATTTCTCTGTACATAGAGAGAGAGAGAGAGAAAGAGAAAAAAAAAAACATTTGGGCAGTTATAAAAAAGTCCATAAACAATAAAGAAAAAAGAAAAAGATGAATAGGAGGCAAATGTGACAAGGTACACACACATACCTTTCACAAGGTGAAAAATCAATAAGTTGTACACCAGGATGACTGAACTTCATTATCTGCTCGAACTTGCTCCCGCCCCAGAGAGCAATTCCTTTTTGATGGAAAGTGGCAAGGTAAGTTCCCTGTGGTGACCAACGGACATATGTTTCTGTCCAGCGCTAACAAAGACAAAAATGCATAAATAAAGGTATTGCAAGTGCAATTTATAAAGCACATCCTCACAAACACTGAATAATTCAAAAGGACATAAAATATTTTAAATGATCTTAAATCATCCCTTTTTGAAGACAAATATTGCCATTAAGGATTGTTTTAATTAACAGAAAAATTAACAGTGTCTGATGAGAAAAATTATTAGGGTAATGTATTAAATATATCTTCAGGAGAGGATTTTGGCTGTAATATGGTAAATCCTTAAAGAAGTGAAGGAGAACCAAGTATTTTTAAGGGAAACAAAAAACAACTTACACTTCGTTCCTCAATAAGTGTCGGCTGGGTATGAGAATTCAAGAAGATGGCTGTCTTTTCTCCGCCATCGTAGATGACGCTAAACTGATCAAAGCTTTCGTTATTCAGTAACCAAGAGCGCAAATTACCCTGAAGAAAAGGTACACAAGAAGTCAAAATAAGAAGCAAGACTTAAGGATTGGGAATGGTCGGGGTTATTTACTGAAGAGGAAAAAGAAAAAAAACTTACAAGAATGTTACACACTATTGGCAGTTCATTTCATCAAAATGAACTTCCACCTAGAGCTTTTTTTTATTTTTTTTTATTTTTTTTAAAGTAGACTGATGGAACTACAAGAAGCTAGAGAAATCTTGTGGAAATGATTACCAGGATTTGCTCAAGGTAAAATTTAACAATATCAATAGCTTCTATCTTCCAGCTGGGACAATGGAAAATTTAAGTGTTGACCAAAGACTGCTCTTAGAATATGCAATAGGAATTTCTTGAGGGAAAGTGAATCCTAGAACCCTGCCGGGAAAACTGAGTCTCTAAATCAAGCAAGATGGCTAATTTTAGCCATCAGGTTAATGTGTTTATAGAAAGAATGGAACTAGATGTGCCTATCCACCAGAACTCTATGATAAATTGTACAGTCTTATAAAGATTATAATTGAAATATATGCAGTTGGTTTGAAATTATTTTAATTTCAAACCAACTGCATATATTTCAATTAATAAATTCCATAACCAACAACTATATATCTTCAACATGTTCCAGAGAACAAATCAACAGTCGACTGATATACAGAATGTTGCATTAAAAAAAAAAAAAAAAAAAAATTTACAGCACAAAAATATTTTTTATTTCACAAGTAGCAAGCCACCAAAGAGATTTTGATTAACTTCTCATAAAATGGAGTTTGTGAACCTGCAAACTGCAAGAGGTTCTAATGAGTGGAACAACATTGAAGTTGTCAAATTTACCTGCACATTTGCAAGGTGTGGAAAAGGCAATTAAATCAAGTACTAAAGCTTTACAAATTGTATATCGACAAAAAGCAAGGAACAATCACATTATTACTAAATCATCATGCCATCAGATAAGACCATTTATTTCAAAGGTAAATTATACTGAACAATTCAGCTACATCATGATGTAATATGTTATACAGTGAAGTAGTTTTAGTATGATTTTCAATAAACAAATGTAAATTTTAAACATTTTGTTTTCTAATTTTGTACTTAGTAATATTATGATGTTATATACACTTTTTTTTGTTTTTATTAATTATAGCCTAACAAATTGATTAGCCATTTTTTGTAATCATTATCAATTTTTAATTTTCACTTATCAAATACAGTAAAAAATTTCATATTTTGCTTGTGATTCATACTTAGAATTTGGGTTTGAATATATTTGCCATTCAATGAATCTAATATAAAAACTAACTTTATTTAGGTTTATTCTTGAAATAGTAAAATTTTGAAGTCAATTTTTAAGCAAAACTCTGCAGAAATTAGGTGTATCTGTACATATTTTCAGACGGTCTTTAAACCTAAATTCTTGAAAACTGATAAAAGCTATGAATAATTTTTGTCAGTACTTATTACATCAAACCCCAGCTTCTGTTTGCTACACAGGATGCAGGATATTAGCTCGTTGACTGAATAAGGATTTATAAGCACAATAAGTAGTCAGTCATATTAATAAGAAAACAGTCAGATGCAAAATAGAGCAATTACTCAATACTGGAATTCATACATGCCTTCAACCAGAAGGAAATTCAGTCTCCTTTATCATAGACTAAAGGAAAAAAAAAAAAAGGTTTCTCCACCAATTTGACATTTTTGAAAGGTGAATGAAATTTCAAATCAAAAAGATTACAACATTTACAGTCTTCTCTAGAAACATTGTTGCAATTCATTTGGACAGGGGCTGGCTCTTGAAGAATTTTATGAAGTGTTGCATGAATTCTTGCTCAACTTTCCAGTTTGAGGATGGGGAAAAAAAAAAAAAAAAAAAAAATGCAAGTCAAAAGAGGCAAAAATGAATTTACCATGTCCTTGTATGGCTTTGGCTGTGGAGGTTCCCATTCATCAGGAATATTTTCATATCTACAGAGGAAATGAATATGGAAGCATGTTAAGAATGAATGAGTGAATCAACACCAAAGCAGAATGCCATTTCACTAATTCTATAAAAGAATCAACATGCTACATACATGAAACTGGTAGTTTTAACAAGTTTAGGAAAATAAATGGAAATACAAACAAATTACAAGTTTACTTTTGTGGCACTTCAGTTTCTTTTTCAACAAATAAAACTGAAAATTTCATTTAAACGGCAAAAATTAGACTCATCAAGTCAGCATAATTTCATTTTTATTCTTTTTTTGTTAACTCCATGATTAAGAATTTAATATATTAAATCTTTTAGCTTTTAAAGGGTCAAATCAGAGTCAGGTCCACAAGACGACATTTAGACTGTACATGATGTTCTGTACAACACTTGTATATTGTTGTAGGGCAAAAAGAAAACAACGCTTATTGTGAATGAAGTGAAAATCTCACTAAAAGATAGATATGATGCTTAGGTATAGATAATATTTTTTTTTGTACAAATAATAGATGTCTTTATAAATCAAAAGAAAAGGATATTGTTCAACTTATGAGTAAAGCTAAATAAAAATAATTGGAGGAGGAAAAAGAAAAGACATTGCTTACTTTTGAAAATCTGAGAATTGATTAACAATAAAAGTGTGCTGCTTGTCAAGTTTGTAGTTATTGGCCGTCTTCACAGCTTCAAGAGCATTTTCAGATGAGGCATATTCAAGGAATACATATCTAAGGAAAAAAAAAAAAAAAAAAAAATCAATTAGGGGGAGGGGAAAAAAAAACACACTTCTGAAAGAGAGAGATTAGTGATAAGTTATTTGGACTTATTTGTGAATCACATTCAACACTTCAACTATTCTTTTGACCTTCTGCATTCCTGCACATTTCCAAATACAGAGTAAAAGATTTCATAATTTAAATAGGTACATGTGACCAATTCAACACAAAAGTAAAGACAAGGTTTCATTGATCATAAAATCTAATTTGCTTTTTATTGGGTTGTCCAGAAAGTTCTTTTTAAGGGAAATTAAAACATGAAACAAAATTATGCCATTAAATATTTATTCAACTTAATATGAACCATTTTGTTGCACAACCTTTCTCCAATTTTTCCTTCAACTTAAAGATTCCATCTTCCCAGAATGTTGATGCTTTCTTGGCAAAGAACTCATTAAGGTGTTTTTTTTTTTGCCATCCAAAGAATTAATTTTTACTATTGAGATTATTTTGCAAGTACCTGAATAAATGAAAATCCGAAGGAGCAATGTCTGGGGAATATGGCGGGTGGGGGTAACACATCCCAGCCAAAGTGCAACAATTTTTGCCGGGTTGCCAAAAGAAATGGAGACTTGGCACTATCCTGATTGAAAACAACACCTTTCCTGTTCAACAATTCTGGGCGTTTTTCTTGAATTGCTGCCTTTAATTCGTCCAGTTGTTTAGTAGTACTTTGCAGAATCAATTGACTGGTTACTTAGCAGATGCTCATAGTACAGGATTCCTTTCCAATCCCACCAGATGCACAACATGACTTTCTCAGTATGATGACCTGCTTTTGAGGGGGCTAATGTTAGCTCATTTTACTATACTCCATCTTTTTCTCTGAACATTGTTGTAAACAATCCGTTTCTCATCACCTGTCACAATTTGCTTTAAAAATGTTGCATTTTCATTGTGTCTATACAGCTAATCACAGATAAAATGCAATTCAAAAAAATTCTTTTCATTCAGATCAGATCATGTGGTACCCAAACATTATAGTGATTTGAGTACCCAAGCTTCACTAAATGCTCATGGATTGTGGATTTTGATAAATTTAGTATTTCTGCCAATTGTGTAATGCAGGTTATTTTCAATCAATGTCTGAATTTGATCATCAGCAGTGAGGGATCTGCCTGAGCATTCTTTATCAATAAGGCTACAATCACCAAGAAAAAGCATCCAGTGCCTAAAAATTGACACAAATTAAGTAATTTTAAACTTTCTTTCTCAAGAGATAGTTTGAAGTGTGCTCTAATCGGAAATGTAAACATATCTGACGATGAATTTGGTGTATTCTAATGTGTTGGAACATGAAGGACTAAAAATTGGCATGAACTTTCCGGCAGCCCAATAATATTTATCAAAGCAGAAGCAAATTGCTTCATCTCACATAAAAGTAATTTTTCTTTGGTTCTAACAAGGGGAAAAAAAAATAGAATCTATTAAATAATAATAGTAATTTATTAATAAGTCATCACCAACCCCCATTGCAGAGACGTGCAACAAAATAGCCATGTTAGTTTTAATAGAATAGATTCTTATTCAAAGCTAATGCTATTATAAGAATGCCGAACTCTGCACAAACAGTGAAAGCATCAAAATGAGAGAAAAATACCAGAATTAATAATTTTTTTTTAATCTTACATGGAAAGTAAGTATATGAAAAAAAAAAAAAAAAAAAAAGGCATTAATTACAAGAACCATTGATCTGGATATCAACTTTCATATCTTGACAGTAAAAGAGCCATTATTATCTTGTCAGTTCAATTATCAGACCAAATTTTAATCAAGATGATATTATCTGTATATTATTTGAGAAAAAAAAAAAAAAAAAAAAAAAAATTTAAACGACAGGCATGAAAAGTGTAGAGTTGTTGCTGCTGCTGCAACAGTCTTTGACATTGGCCTGGTTCTGGAAGCAAATATTGGATTGGTATTTTATAGAAAAAAAAGATTATCATTTTGTCTCCTATTTCTTTTCACAGCAATTTCTCTTTAAGAATTTTTTTCTCATTGAGAAAACATTGACATTTTTGACTGTGTTATTTAACACTGATTCCTCATTCCACTTGTTAATGTCACCATCAAATTCTTGAATTACATGAAATGAGAAAAGGACAATTTTCTTTTCCCCACAAGAAGGAATTATTCTTTGAAATATAATCTTATAATTGTGTATTTGATAAATGAAATTGCTTGAAACTACCAATTTTCAATTATTCCACTTTTTAGGATGGCTCAGATCACCACTAGCCAAACCATTATATATATATATTATATATATATATATATATATATATAGAGAGAGAGAGAGTTGGAATGAAAATTTGATGAAACAAATTCCAAGAATAAATGTTTTCAAGCCTTAAACCTGCATAAAATGTCAAATCCTGACAGCTAAAGCTTTTGCTTCTACAGAAGGGAATAGGATGATAAGTAAAACCTATCGTTTATTGCTATAAAGCACCAAGTGGACTTAATAAGCTTTGAATGTAATTAACAAGTCTATTACCGCCGACAAAACAAGTTAGTAATGCTGCTGATTCAAGAGTGTTTAGCATGTCAAGGACAGCACAGGCTAAGAGTGCTGCCGATTTCAACCAGGTATTAATGAAGGAAGGAAAATTTAAAGGGATTTTGTCATTTGAAGGACAAAAAAAAAAAAAAAAAAAAAAAAAAAAAAATCCATGTTTGGTTAGATGGGAAGTAAACCAGACTAAGGATTTTTTTCAAAACCTCCATCTTCAAGACCATTTCCCAGAGAAATTAGAATCATAAAATTACTGTAATAAATGGCCATGGCAGATGCTATTGACAAGTCAATAACCTTAAAGAAAAATCTCCATAAAACTTTCTGAAAATAACATCAATTGTATTCTGTTAAGTTTAGATCTCTACAAGTCAGTTTCTTAGATTTAATATTGATATCACATTTAAAAGAACTTGCTGCGTTTTGTTTAGCATGTAATAGACTTCCACAAAATAAAATATACACAGACATATACAATAAAGTGGATAGTGAAAATATTAAACAGATGATTAAGTGACCTGGGTATGACCCACCACATTTCAGTTGGGATTTCTTGGGTAGATTTGAAAGACAGACCAGAGAGAAAGCAACATATAATAGCCTAATTAATGTGTGCAAAAATGAAAAACCTTGTTAGAATTTAAGAGAAAAAAAAAAGAATCAGTTTGAGAATATGGGGATGATGGAACTGGCCTGAGGCAAAGCAAGATGTTAATGAAGAGAAAGAAACAAATGGATTGTGTGAACATTTGCCATTCTAATACTTAAGAATGAAAAGACCCTCATGTAATCATCCAAGAGGATCAATTAAAAATGCTGATAAGTAATTTAATCTTTAACCAAAGCTATAGCAGACCAATTTTTTGGCATGAACTGCAGCTTCAGGCACTTTGAAATTTCTTTTATTGGAAAATTTTATAGGGCAGTGGCTGACAATTGCTACACATCTTTATTGTGAATTAATCTACATAGTGCCATTTCTTTTAAAATAATAAGCATGTAGCCTGGTGTTCTAATCTTAAATTCAATGTTTATTTTATATATATACCTTGAAATTAATAAATTGCACAAGAAGGTAAACTGACAGAGAAGATTAATCTAGCATTGACATGGTATGCCATACAAATAATGGATTAGTTTTGACATTAATCTGAGAAACTCATAAATAAAAACCCAAAACATTTAAGAGATAATAACTATTTAGAGCAGCTGCTGATAAAGAAATATGATGGAACAGTGTGTGAGTGGGGAATGATATATCAGATAGATCTACACACACAAAAGGTAAAAAAGAAATGATAAAAATTATACACAAAAGGGGGTGCTGTAAAAAAAAAAAAAAAACTGCTTCACCAAGTCTGGTGTTTGGGTAAGAATGAGAATTTTTTTTTTTTTAGCACTCTTTCATATATAAATGCTTTACCCTAGGAACCTCCATTAATTTGCAGAAAAAAAAAAAGAAAAAAAGAAAAAAGAAGCATACTATGATGAAAAAAAAAAAAGGCCCCAAACTTTGTAAAAAACAATTTTTTTTTTAATCAAATGTTTATTAAAAGTATTTTTGATTTTTATATATATATATATATATATATATATATATATATATATATATATATAAGTAAATAAATTCTTTCTAGCATGTTTGAAAATTTGGTTAAAAATCTTGAGTAAAGGAAATTTTAGCATCTTTTTGTGGTACCCCCCCCCAAAAAAAAACCTTGTTAATACATGGACAGTTTAAATAAACAGCTACTGACAATTGGGGAAAAAAAAAAAAAAAATTTCTGTGATATTTTAAACAGGTAAGTTCCTTTCAAATCAGATTAATTATACTTTAAATCACTTAATATTTGTCTAAAGTTTCAGAAAAGTATATTTTATTTTTAAACATTTTTTTTAATAAAAAGAATTATATCAATAAATGTGGGCTAAAAATTGCTGCTAAAAATCAAATTTTTAGCAGGAAAAAAAAAAGAAAAAAGAAAAAAAGTATTCTTTCCAGTCAGTTTAAACTAGTTTTGAAAGAGCAAAGTATTTTGCTTAATTGAAATATTAAATTTAATCTAGTGAAATTAAAACCGAAGTAAAAGCTTTAAGAAAAATTTTTCATTTTAAACCTTAAGAATCCGTAGATGTATTACTGATAATTCTAAAGAAGCCAATGTTATTGATCCAAGCTTTGTGTTTTATTTATTTTATATAATTAACAGTTTCATTGTGAACAAATTTGGATTGGCCTACAATTCCATTTAAAAATCATTTTTAAAATGTGAAAAGACAATGCCATGAGAAAAGATGAAACTACCTTCTGAGATGAAAAAAGGAAGAGGAAGCATTCACAGGCTGTGATAACCTAACAAATCAAGAACAAAACATTCCCTAATTTTAGCCGCTTTCATTGATGGTTTATTTTTATGGAACTAAGCCTGAAGAGAGATATTTCATTAAATACCAGGAACAACGCTGCAAATGTTCAAATGGAGAGACAGTGTAACAAAATATACATGACTGAATGTCTTTTTTTTTTCAGTCATCTGAGAGAGAGAGAGAAAACTAGCGAGAAAGACAAATATCTACTTCTTGTGTTTGTTCAGCAAAGGCAACATGAACTGAGACAACCTATTTCAATGACCAGTACACACCTGTTTGAAGAGACTCATGGAAAGAAGTAGAGGAACAATTTGGCATGATGACGGAAGAAAAAACAAATATGTGGCTTATATAAACAAATGAATGAAGTCATTCACTCTCAATGTAAATCTCTGATATCAAAATGTTGTCTTAGGTACTAAAGCAACTTTCATGTATTTGTAAGATGTTTTTTATGCCTTCAAATTGATGAACTCAAATTATTAATCTGGCTGTATGAAACTAATTTATTAAAATTCCGTTTTATAAACTTATTTCTCACACTGAAGCCTAAAACGGTACAAGCATTATTAATGACTGATCCATTGTCAGTTACAAAACTCATTCAATCTTTTCAACAATTTTGTTGTATGGAGATGGATGGCAACAATCAAAGGACTGCATGATCAGTGACACAAATTGAAGACACTGTTAGGTACCTCCATTAGGTCACGTAAAAAAAGCAGCATAAAAGGTCCATAAAGCAACGGAAACAAAGTTTTGTCTCAATATGTTTATGTTGTTATGAAGATGAAAGAGCAAAGAATTTTTTCTTAAAATATTTTTGAAATTTTTTTACTCCTAACACATAGAAAATTTTGGTTAAAAGGTTTTTTTTTTTTTTTTTTACGACAGCGTAAAAAAGAGAAAAAAAAAGTTTGTTTTATTTTGCGCTTTTCCCTGAGGAAAACACATAAACAGGAAATTCTTGCAAAAAAAAAAAAAAAAAAAAAAATCAAATAATTGTCGGATTTTAATGAACTTTCCGGACTTATTCAGAAATGAATGAAATTATTTTTGAAATTTTTTTTTTTTTTTTTAGAGAATCTTGTTACAAAGATTTTTTTTTTTAAGCAGGTTTCAACCCACTTACATATTTTCATGAAATTTTGAGAAATTAAATCTTTAAGCACGGGATTTGTTTTATTAGTTATAAACAGGACTCTTTATAGAAAAGTAAATCACCAGTTTTTTTTTTGTAAAACAGTTACCTGTTTCATAGAAAATCTGCTCTGAATTATAAAAAAAAATGTAAAAAGTACGACATTAATTAATTAGAAAAGCTTTGACCTGCTTTTGTAAATATGTTATATTAAGGACATTATTTTGTGAAGAAATAAAACTTTTTTGATGAATGTATTTTTTACAAATTTTTTTTCATTAACTTCTTAATACTTCAAAAATCGTTTAAATTCTTTATTGCTTTTAAGCATGTAATGCAATGATAACGTTAATGAAAAAGTAAATTTATGAATCAAAATTTGAAAAGCACATAAGTCGTTTGTACCCAAATATTTTTAAAATAATTTAAAAAAAAAAAACGTTCATAATTTCTACGTATGAAAATGTATACATGACAATCCTTAAAAAATTTTAAACAATTAATTAAGAAAGTATGAAATAAAAAGATATTACATAATTGCTGAATAAAAATGTTAATATTTAAAAAGTACTAGTTAAAAACGAAAAATCATGTTCACTTTGCAAAAATTGTCAATTTTGATCATCCATAGTAATGTCATCACCTCATCACAATCGATTTCTTTGATAAATTCAGATACATCGTTAAGAAATGTTTGGATACAAATTTTTATGTTATAAGTAAGTACTGTTTGTTTCATATCAGATTAATTTAAATTTTCTAATTTTACTCAAATAACGTGTCAAAAATATATAAATTTATTTTAGGAAAAAGTTTAAAATCAAAATTTTGTTTTTGTTTACAAATTTCTTAAAATTTAAGAAAATGGCCACTTTTAAGAAAATTAAAAAATTGAGCATATATTTGACATTCCAATCTATATAATTTCTATCTGAAAGACACCAGAATATGTTACTTACTGTAAGCAATAAATTTAATGCTTTAGCTTTCAGTTAATAACATATTGAAATTAAACTTTTTGTTGATTTATGAGCCTTTTTTCATCATGATATGCTGCTTTTTTACGTGACCTAATGGAGGTACCTAATGTACATCACTAATCACATAACCAAGTCTATGCAACAAAATCACAGAGTTAGCACATTTCAATCACTGATATGGCTTTGTCAGTAAGCAGCAATCAGGTAAACATTCTAAGAAACTGTATTTATACTTAAGGAGCTGTCTTAATCCAGGTTTTGTTACTCACAGCTGGGGACAGGGTAAGATGATTTGAAAATCAAAAGAAACTGCCCATTCCCCCAACCCATCTGGATTTTCTCTCCATTCTCCAAGTGGGTGGTAAAAAGCTTTTAGCCAGCAAAATATATGATGTTTGGTCATATATTGGCAGTAGTAAAACTGAATTTTTCAGCACCATCTCATTCAAAATACATCAAGTGGTGTTAACTACAGGAAAGATAAATTTCTTATCTTTATATCCCTAAACCTCTAGACTTCATTAAATCAGCTTGCTGATGAAATAAACTTATCTTATCCAACTGTACAGCTGTACATTTGGTAGCCAACAGAACATAAGCATAGTTACATAGCAGGTTTTTCATACTATTGCTTTGCTTCAGTTTACTACAATCTGAAAGTCCTAAAAACATTTAACCAAAAATGTGATTATGAAAATGGTGGGAGGTGATGGAAGATAAATATGAACAACAACAATAAACAAGAATCAGCTTTTGAAGCCTGAATGATTATGGATTACTTATGCCTTCTGTAAAGGAATTTGTACTTACCCACTAGTTTTGCCATCATTCATTGGGTAATGCTCAGTACGTATTTTCCCAAAGTTCTGGAAAATCTTTCTGACAACATTCTGCAACTTCTCCAACCGTTCAGGACCAACCTTGGGGACATTGTCCACCACAATAACAGAATCAAAACCATCATATTCTGTAGGTCTTTCTTTCAAGACATCAGCAACGAGTTCTGTAAATGAGATTTGAATTTGAATAAGATGCCATAAAAAAATCATGACCAAATCTCCAAAGTTAAATTAACTTTTTAAAGCTTTGTATCTTTAAGCTCATACTGATTTAAATAAAAAAAAAAAAATTATGAACTTCTTGCAGGTTATATTCAATTTCAGTCATTTTTAATATCACATTATCTTGACAGAGAAAAGAAACAAGTTTAAATTGTCTCATTTTGTTTAATATCAAAGTTGATCAAGAGAAGTTCATATAATGAAAAAAGTGAGCAAAAAGATTTCCCAGCAATTTGTTTATATGCATTTAATAACTTCATATGTAATTACTTGTGGTCACAGCAGGAAGATAACATGACTTAAAAAAGAAAAAAAAAGTAATATAAAAGTGCTTAATGATTCTTACTTTTAAACAAATCAAAATATTTAAATTCAGATTCACTAGTCTATATGGCTTTTGGGAGAAAGAAAATAGTCTCATTTTGAAGGTGAATCTATTGGGATCTGCCATTTAAAATGCACCAGGAGTAGATAGTTACAAATGTAACCTTAACTAGTGAAATCATTTGCATAATCTTGGGGGTAGAGTTAACAGCAAATTTCAGGTGTGTTTTTTAATACAAATTTTACCTGGAAAGTTCTGATATTTTGTCAATCAATGTGTATAGACTTTTCATGAAGTTTCTGAACTTTAAAGCAATGAAAATAGAGGAATGATTTTGTCAGGAGCTATTGTTCGTATTAACTGTAAATTAATCTATTTATGGCAAAAAAATAAATACAAATGATAACCAAGATTACCACTTTGGCTCATAATTAAAAATCTGCTTAGCTTGTAAAATTTTCAACATTGCAGAGGATAAAAATTATGTTTTTTTAAAATTAATATAGCTATTTTCAAAGTGGTTATTAAAAATATGAATGTCCTTTTATAATGGATTTGGCATTAGAACTTATTCATAGTTATTCATTTTAATTCTTATACAAAGAATAAATCAATTTTGTTTTTAATGAGAAGATACTTTCATTAAGAAATCAAGATAATGACACATACACACACAACAAAAATTCTATTCCCATTTATATATTAAAAATTTCCTTTTATTATGAGATTAGTTGGAATTAAAAAAAGCCAACACAATTCAGGCTTTGGAGAAACTTGGGTTAAAACAGGTTGGTTAAGAAAAAAAAACTCCAAAAACAACAGTTTAAAACAGAATCATTTTATAAAAGTATATATTAGCAATTAATCTAGTTTAAATGTTCAAAGATATTTTTTTTGTTTTATATCAAAGTTTAATGCAATTGTTGTCAGCAAAATATTTCTTTCAAACCATTTTTCTTTACAAACATTAATATACTGATGTATTAAGATGTGGATTTTGTGTCCAATTAATATTTACAAAAGAATTACATTTTTTTAATGTATCAGCCACAGTAGGATTTAAAATAAAATTAGCATCTGAGTGGGTAGAGGAGGGAGTAGATGTAGAGATTTTATGCCCAAACAACATTTGGTAGCAAAATTATTTAAGGTATTTTGATTTCCAGTACAATATTTTGATGAGTATTGAATTACTCCATCTTAAATCTTTATCTATCAATCTATAAGCATTTTAGCAAAGTCTAGTGTTTGCATCTAAAAGAAAAAAAAAACTGTTAGAAGTACTTTTACATCCTTCCTTGCCAATTTCAATTGTTGTAAAAAGCTATTTCTAAAATTTTAATATAAACCTAAACATATGGAAGTAGTTTTATGTCTTCCCTTTTTCTCTCTCTAGAGAACTGACAGAAGTATTAACATTAAACTGGTAATTAAACAGTCCAATAAACAAATAATGTTTGACATTTTTGGGTTATCAATTTTTAAGAAAAAAATCCATATATTCAAACTATTTTAGTGAATGAATGTGGCAAGAGCAAATGAATGAAATACCAAAAAAATACATTTTTTCAAAATTATTATCAGTTTCTCATGTTTATTTAAATTTTCTTGTTTGCAAACATTTTTAGAAATTTATGAATTTATTTCTTTATAAGGAAAATATTGCATTCTTGTGGATTCATATACTTTTATAAACTTGTAAATAAAAACAAATCTTTAATTCTTTCGTCAATTCTTGAGAAAAAAAATTCATGTTCCAGTTTCATGTATGTTTGATTAAAATTCTAAAAATAGCTTTTTAAAACAATGCAAATTGCTAAGAGCATCTGTCTGTCGATATTTCTGAGATGAGGTATTATGTACATTATTCAGACTATTGTAATAAATATGGCGACAAAAATGAGGACACTAGTCCGAATAATGTAAATAATGAGCATAATAGTAGAGTCAAGAGAAAAACTACATGTTTGACATTTTTTTGTAGGTACAAATGTAAAACTGCCAACATTTTATGTTTTTGATTTTCCTTATCTAAAAATTTACATTAGGTTCAAGTACGTTGTAAATCAAATCTCTCACAACAAATGGTTCTAAAAAGAGTCAGATATAATAAAAAAAAAAAAACAAAAACAAAGAATCATTTTTTTTTTGTGTTATATAAACACATGGGATAATCAATTTGGAGTCCAATGATAGAAAAGGCCATTATGTATATATTTTCAACAATCTTTGTCAATTCATTCCTTAATTGGGATCATTGAGAATGCGAACGATCCTTTCCTTAGCTGCATATGTGCTTTGCCAGGGTAGTTTGGAATTCACTTCTAGACCAGTTGCCACCCAAGGCTATAGAATCCAGTCTGTCCTGCTATTTACCCATAGAAGGGTGGGTTGGATTCATAACTTTCCTAGGTTCTAAGGGTATCAGTATGTATGTGAATGTAATGAACTCAATTTGAATTTGAACTTGGTGCCCTGATTTATTCTATTTAGTGATAACACTGAATGTTACACAATGAACATTTCAGATGAAAATTCAGCAATAATTACAACCGACCCACCTTCAGAAGAAACCAAGTTTCACAAAATATATCATTAAAATAATCAGATAATTTATTAATACAGAAAACAAATGTGCCAGTTTCAATTCCTTATAGGAAATAATTAAAAGCTTTTATAGCTTACAATGAGATTTGTTTTCAGGAAAAGTTCAACATTTTCTGACATGGTCATTTAATGTCTCTTCATGACCCAGACAAATAAATTCCTGTGCTCTCTTCTCTATCAATATTGCCTGTCATATTAAAGTATTTACTTGTTCAGAATACAATTTTACCATTCTGGGGTAATATTTGCCTTTTAAGCCCATCCATACTTCAGCCGTATCATTACTTATCACGTGTGTATGGAAAAATGATAGTTTAGTGCTTTTAATTATTATTTTATTTTATTTTTTTTTTTTTAATTACTAGGCAATGAATATTGGCTTTAATATCATTAAAGAGGTGTTAAAAAGTTATCATCTCAAAGTCTGAAGTTTTCAGCGTCATTCCTACAAAAGAAACCTTAAACACTTTCAAAACCTGTGTGAGTAAATACACTAAACAGAATTGCATAAAATAACTCCCTAGTTTCTCAATTGGTGAAAAACTTTTCTAAAATTATATCAGACACTGTCAACAGTTTAAGTCTTATATGCCTTTGCTAATTTCATATCATAAAAAAAAACAAAAAAAAAAAACAGCCAAAATATTTTTATTGTACTTTTAATCAAATCGTGTACATATGTTCAAAATAGTTTTTAGAATTAAGAAATCTTTTAGCGTTTTATTAAACAATTTTAATCTCTTAAAACTTGGGTGATAAACAAAAGAAAAAAAGACAAAATTATCTACTTATTGCTGGGGAAGCAATCCGATGTCATCAAAACAGCTACAGCTTAACTTTTTACCTTCATGACACCTGAAAGCAAAACATATGGTATCTTTTCTTTTTCTATTATTTTGTCAAATAAAAGACAAACCGGGCTTAGAAGTGGTCAATTTTCTATTAAAGAAAAAAAGTTTTAAATAGATAATTTTTCTTTTTTTTTTTTTTTTAAGTAACTTTTTCCAACTTAATTCTAAATAAAAATCAACACCTATGAACTAGTTCAGTATTGGTTACTCTTTGACAAACTAGGTAAGTTTTTTTGATGATTAAAAAGTAAAAACTTTAAAGGGTTTCGTTTTTTTTTAAAATGTAAAATCTTTTGATTAGAATACCATATTCGTTTGACCGAAGATTTTGCAAACCTTAGCAAAAGTCATACTTGAACATATTACAAAATGATTGAACAAAACACGTGCAAAAAAGAAAAAAATAAGCTATGAGCACCTGTGATAAGGAAACTAATTAAAGGAATATGATCAGCTTTTAATCAAGACAAATAAGCAACAGGAGAAAACTTATGAAAAATAATAATCTTCACGATTACAAAAAGCTTTTTAAGACTATTTTTAGTCACATTCTGTAGGAAAAAGAAAAGAACGAATTCAGTTGCGTTAAAAAAGAAATTGAACAAAAATGAGAAGTAATATTCAACAATCACCAAAAGGTGCTGGACATCTGAAATCTCTAAGACTAATATTTGACGTTTTTGATGAAGAAAAATAACCTAAAAGAGTGGTTTATTATTTTTATTCTAATATTGACGTTATTAATAGAAAAAAAAAAGAGAAAAGTTAGTAGTCGTAATTAAGGCCATCATACGTAGAAAAGTGCTTCTCTTTCTGACCTAACGGACGAGAAAAGGATTAACACTGCTGCCAGTGTTTAAATAACTTGCCAATTCCTACATAAACTTTACAAACAAAATTTCACAATCTATCAAAGTTGACTTTTGATAATATTTCACTTTATTAATGTTAATAAAACTTCACGATCTTGACGGTCAGAGAGTGGAAGACACACAAAAACAAATAAGTGGAATTTGTTGAAGATGGTGTGAAAATAACTTCTACCAACAGAAGGTTAACAAGAGAAAGACAGATATATGCCAAAAAGTTAAAAGGCATTTTAAAAACAAAAGTATTTAAGTAAAAAAAAAAGAAAAGAAAAATAAAGACCAATAAAATTCTACAGATTACAGAACGATAGTTACAGACTGAACACATGATTCCTTAGTGGAACTTATCCGTGGGAAATAAACACGAGGGACACCTACACGCCCGAGCAAATACCATATGTAAATTATACTTATTTCTGTTAGTTTTTTCGTTTTTAAGGATTTGTTTTTTATGAAGATGAAAACTGCAGGAGGGAATATTTGGAGAAAAGTCTGAGTTTATTTGTTTTAGATTAGCATGAAAATGTACCATCCTTTCAAACACACAAACGAGTTAAATTAAAGTAATTTATTGGACATTTTGCAAGACATTTTAATAGCCATTTAAAAGTGAAGGATTAAATAAAAAGGAATTGGAAATCAAGGAATCAATTAATATGAAAATTAACAAGGATAAAACAAAAAGTCAACAAAACAAAAAAAAGGGAAAAAAACATTGATTTTTCGTATATTTATTTGGAACTTAATTGATTTGTTAAAAAGTAACTTACTATACTAATTAACTTAACATTCAAGATAAGGAAATAGGCTTTTTTTTTAAAGGGGTGAACAAAGCTTTTTTTTAACTTAAAATGTGATAATGGTGGTGTATGAAATATTGGGTCATGTATTGAAGAATCATGATAAACGAGCTTTGACTTCAATAAAGATTGTTGCCAAATACGATTAATAGATTTTTGTAATATTAACGGTAAGAATAAGTATTAACAGAGTTTATCTTCATAAGTAAAAGTCCCATAACGCATTCGACTTTTTTCTTTTAGATGAGAGAAACCCTCATACAATTTTTAAACCGGACGGAAGAGAGGTAAAAAAAAAAAAAAAAAAAAAAAAAAATAATTTCTTTTTATTTATATAAAAATCAGGAAAATTGACATTTAATAAGTATAAATAATTAACTTTATAGAGACGCATTTTCGATTACGCTAAACCATATTTTGGTGGTTAATTTATAGATTCTACAATATATGCAAGCCAAGAAGAAATACATGAGACAACCCGGTCAAGAAAGCCGGCATGCTACTAGAAGAGAAGAGAAAAGCCGAACACGTAGTTTTATAGAGAGAGGAAGAGGGGGGGTCTTTTAAAAAGGGGAGAAAGCGTGGGCTTCTCATGGTTACCGAAAAAAAAGTATTAACCTTCCTCAGAAACATCATCAACGTATCCTTCTGGATCGCTGAAGTTAGGCTCTTCTTCTTCGTCATCTTCGATCCCGTTTTGCATCGTTTTCTCAACCTTTTTCTTTGATTTCTTCAATTCCGAGGCCTCACTGTCAGCAGCCATCACTGAAACCTCGTGCGTTGCAAGGGAGAAAAAGAGCGCATGCCCATAAAAGCTGACTGAACTCAGCTGCTTCCGCTCTACAGTTTCCGTCAATATTCGGCTCTTTCCGTAAAACTATAAAATTTATTTAAAAAGAAAACACAAGCTATTACGAACTTCTGTTAAAATATCACCAAAGAAACACTTTAAAATAATTTCAAGATAATAAAAATGATGTGAGAAATGATAGAATGGCTTTAGTGAATGGTATTTTTTAAAAGAAAAATTGAAGACGCGGTTTCTCCGGACAAACAGGAAGTGAACAACTTTAAGATCACGTGCCCGGATGTAGTAGGAAATGGCGCATTTCGACGAAGTAATCATAAATACTTGGATTGGTAGCTTGAATTTATTTCGATCGATACCATCTTATTATTGTTGCAATAAATCGATAATTAAATAACAGACTTGAGTATAGTTTAAATAATTCAAAATACAAAGCTTCTAGATCTCCATGAAAGAAGGATCAGCGATTGATTTTATTGGCTGTGTGGGTAATTTGTTTTAATGATGTGTGGCGGTGGTTTGAAATAAAAGCAAAATTGTTGCGTTTCGTTTTGGTTAAGGGTTATATGTAAAAGAATTTACTAATTTCGTTTCACTTTCCAACAACCGGCAAAGACGTTAAGTAACCACTGGGTGTGGTAATTAATAAAACAAAGTAAGTGTTAGTTTTGGTGAGTATTACACATTTTTTTTCTAAATCTAAAAAACACTTTCAATGTCGGAATATAGTTGTCAATTGGTAGACTAAGACTAATTCAAAATGTTTTCCTAATGACTTTACGAGTGTTCTTTGTTTACAATTTATTTTTTAAAAAAAGAAGAAAATAAAAAAAATGTAAATTCTTATTATATTTAAAAAAAAATCAGAAGCGACTTAAGAAAGTTTTTGTTAATTTGAAATGTAGTGAGATTTGTTGGTCAATATTTAGGAGATTTTTAATGATTTGTTTCGGCTGATTAAAAAAAAAAAAGGTTTTGTTAGTTGGCCATAACATGTCAGTTCACGTTAGACTCAACAAGTTCAACACGTGCTGTTTTGTTTTGAACGTTTTATTTGCACTGAAACTCTTCTTTTTATTCAAATTATTGTTTCTGTCTGATTAAATGTTGTTTTAATCGACATTCCATAGGTTTATCTAGAAAAAATAAAACAAAGTTCTTGGTTAAAGTCTTGAATTAGTTTAAGAAAGAAAAAATTGAATGACTTTCACTTTGTTTTATTTTTTCCGCGAAAAAGTCAGAAGGACATTTTCAAGGAGTTTTTTGAGACTGATTTCACACATTTTTTGTACCCCGTTTTTTTAAAACCATAAAATATAAGTTGTAATTTGTTTTCACAGACATTTTTTTATTATTTTTAAATATACGAATAATACGCAACAGCAGAAACGTCAAGTTGCTTAACTTGATTTTTCCAAGGAAGAAATGCATTTCGAACCTCACCATAAGCAAATGAGATACAAGGTATTAAGTGTGGCAAATTTTGCATCCCTGTTTTTGGGAGACTTTCAAGAAGTTTTTCTGTTCCCTTGATCTTTTAACGTAGAAATAAATTCAAATTTAGAGGACTGAGGAGAAAGAAATTCGCGAGTCTATGTGAGATTTTTGCGTTTTACATAAAGTAACTGGTGGGCCAAGAAGAAGAATGAAAGAAAAAACGAGCCTATGTGAATTTTCTTTTTTTTTTGACCAATGAAAACCTTGCCTTCACAGAAAGTGAGCCTATGCAAAATTCTTTTTGATATAATGTGGCTCTTCAAAGAATTTTCTCTCAACAATCCAAGGAAGTTAACTATCTCTCTTCATCTACTTTGCAAACCTCATATCTCTTTGGTGAGTGACGAACTCTTTTACATTTACATTATTCGGCCATATTTATTACAGCGTTTTAGCCGTTGTCTTCAGGTGGTTGGAATGTCGAACTGAACCCTTTATTTCGCTCATGTGGATGTCAATTATCGCTTAACAATCAGCTATCTCCTGTTAATTTCCCTCTGGAAGTTCTCCACTGCCTTAACCAGGTATTGAACTCGCACTCTTTGGGTCCTGTCTAATCTAACTAACGCCTTTATCCACTGTGCCATATGTCCTTGTATGAATTTATGGGTATTATAAACCTAATGTCTTCAGCAACCATTTTTTTTACCAGTGCTCATATTGCAATTTTTTGCTGTTATCATTGCATGTTTTTATCGAAGCTCATATTGCAATTTTTGTTGTTATTATCACTTTTCTCTGGCACTCCTTGTTACTGGTTCCTATATTGTATTCATTTCTATGCTTGGTTGGCTCAGGAGATTTTTGTGGCCTAGCATATGTGCTGATTCCTTAATGTAATAAACATGGCGACAAAGATGAGGACAATAGTCCGAATAATGTAAATAATGTAAATAATACCTCATCTCAGAAATATAGACAGATTCTCTTACATTTATCTTAATCATTTAATATTATTTTGTGTCAGATCATTTAATATGTTGTATGAACGCTTTATCTTCATGATAATATCTTAAAACTACAGACTTAATTCTGATTTATTTTTCTGAAACTTGCTACAGATATACTTCAAGCATGTAAATTCAAAAATAAATTGTTTATCCTGTTTTGTTCATCATCTTCCTTCAACCAGCCTATGGTAGGTCAGAACTTCATTGACAATCTCTTTCTACACTGTTCGGTCATGTATTGTTATCTCCAGATCCCCAATGTCCAACCCTGGGTCCTGAGCTATGGTGTCTGAGAAAAGTCAATTTTTGTGAGAAGACACTTCCAGAAGGATGCCATAGAATATGAGACCATTTTCCTGTCTGTTTTGGTGGCAATATCTGGTAAACTGTAATCATTTTTGTTTGAGCTTAAGAGAGATTGGTCTCGGTTCTCTGTAAATGGTGATAAACATTGCATGGGGTCTCTAACTGATGTTCTGGATTTTTCAAAGTGGATTTTTATGTTCCATCCAGTCGTCTTTCAAGACGAGCAGGTAATGTCCAAGTTTCTGATCCACACAGTAGGACTGGTTCAATCGATATTCAAAAGGTTTGGATTTTTAAGGAGGATGGAAGGTTTGTGTGCCAAATTTTGTAAAGTTTGTTACATGCATCCCATGCAAGAGCTTTGCAGATGTTGAAATCTTTTTGAGAATCTATTATGTGATATGCAGGATATTTGAAATCCTCAACTCTTTTGATGGATGTATTATTGAGTGACTTCAACTTGGATAATTCAGGGGAGGTTGTGATATATTCTGTCTTACTCATGTTGCAAAAGGGACCTACTTGGTTCACTGAAGACCTCAAGGGGAGATCAACAAGATTGTAAGATTGCATATGGAGAAACAACATGCTGCAGCCTGGAAAACAATAAACATACTCTCAGGAAGAAAATCAAAGCCTTCCATTTGGCTCAAAGGCGGTTCCGTTGAAAAATTATAGAACCACCGAAAATCGGTGGTTTTCCACTCCCTACATATAAAATATCCAATACACTGGGCATAAACATTAACCCATTCATGCTCGATGAACTCAAAACAACACTCAAAGATGTTGCCAACAACAAATCTCCAGATCTTGACAACATACCTACATTATTGGTAGTGTTTTGCAATCAGACATTCATACACCATTTGTTGCCTCCAGTCTGGTTTAAGGGCGGAATAGTATCTGTTCCAAAAAAGGGCAAGCTAACAAGTGCGGCAAACTATAGGGGTATAACTCTTATGCCAGTTACAGCAAAAGTTTACAATAAGCTTCTGCTAAATAGGGTTGTCTCTACCGTCGATCCTCTCCTATGCAAGAATCAGAATGGATTTAGAAGAAGATGGTCATCAACTGCTCGGATCCTCTCTATTCACTACATAGATGAAGAGATGAAAAAATTCAACAAAGAGGTCATAATCTGTTTTGTTTACTTTCGCAAGGCATTTGATTCAATCAGCAGAGAACTCACGATTCAAAATCCTCCAACTCTGTGGTATACCTTCCAGAATTGTTTAGGTAGTTAGAACAGAAACACCACTGCCACCCTTGTATCTCCTGATGGCAAGACTAATTTCTTTGAAGTTAAAGCAGGAGTTCAACAAAATGACACACTTGCTCCTTTTCTGCTTATAGTTGTTCTGGATTATGTTCTGTGTATTTCTCTTGACAACATTGAGAAAAAAGGATTCCTTTTGGAACTTTGCCAGAGTAGTCAACACTCATCACTATACCTGACTGACCTTCATTTTGCTGATGATCTTGCATTAATTTCTCAATGTATCAGGGATGCAATCACTCAAGTCAGCAGCAAACATGTTTTGTTAAAATTCCTTGTCATTATCAGCCTTCATTAATCTTTGTGGCATGGGTAAATCAACTGTTCATTTTAAGCCCTAAGCTCCACACTACTATAAATATAATTTAAAAATACAACCCTGAAATGGAGCACTCCTTAATTTTGAATGATTTCATGGCATATTATTGGGGGGGGGGGAGTAGGATTCTCCTTAAAATGTCTAGTTTAACTATAGACATAAAAAATATTCTTCCTTCTTTTACTACCCCAAATTTTGAGATATTCATTGCTAAGAGAAATTATGTGTTCTTAGGTGCTTTTTTTTCTAAATAAAATATTATATATTATAGATACCTCCAGAGAAACATGATACCTAAGATTTAAAAAAAAAATTTAAAAACGAAAAATCTTCCTTGAAGCTTTTATTTTAGTTTTAATCTAAAGTTAATAGATTAAATTTAATATTTTCAACAAGCAAAATACTTTGCAATAAGCAAAAGTATTTTTTTACCAAAGTATTTTGCTTGTTGAAAATAAAAAAAAACTAATTTAAATTGACTGGAATGAGTTTTTGTTTTGAAATTAGTGTTTTTTTTTGTTTTTTTTTCCTGAAATATTTGATTTTATGCCATTTTTAGCCCATGTTTATTATGTAATTCTTTTTATTAAAAATCTTCCAAAAA